TCCTCCATCTAGGCAGGGACCCAGAGAAGAAGAGAAAGTTCTAAAATATATGGTGGAAATTAACAAATAGACAAATCACAAAGTAGATACGTTGTTCAGGATTATTCAAGATACAACTATTAAAATTGCTATCGTCACCATGTTGAGATTTCATTAAAGAGTTGTATAGATTGAAAGAAATGCCAATTTTAAATTAGTAATTTCAATTGTCATTTTAAGCCATAGGCACAGTTAGTTTATATGCTGTACTTCCTGTAGGAACTACATTTCAGTGCATATCAAGAATGTTGAGTGATGTCGCTTTTCATAACATATTTAAGCTTAAAATTAAATATATCTATTAAAACACTTCAGTTTTTATATTCTAAGTGAAGTCTGAGTCTTGATTTCAGTCTTAGATTTGGTTTGTTAATTAGAAAAAATAAAATAAAATTTTAATTGTGTGTTTTTTGCTTCCGTTTTTTTTAAGGCCTGGTGTGCTGCAGGGAACTGTTTCAGTTTGCAACGGGAACATGATATTGCAATTAAATTCTTCCAGAGAGCTATCCAGGTTGATCCAAATTATGCTTATGCCTATACTCTATTAGGTCATGAGTTTGTGTTAACTGAAGAACTAGACAAAGCATTAGCTTGTTTTCGAAATGCTATCAGAGTCAATCCTAGACATTATAATGCATGGTAAGTGCTAATAAAGTGCAAAGACAAAATCTTATTGAGAGGCTGATACTTGGTAGTGTTTCTTGTTAGATTTCTCTTTACTGTCATGAGTTTGGTTACTAATACTTAAAGATGTTACTGGTTGATAACTTCTAACTGTAATGTTTTTATGTGGAGTTTATACTTTTAACCAACTCTTAACTAATGATTATTAGAATACCACATCCTTATAGTCAACAGTTTCAGCCATTTCTCTACCAAGCTTTTGCAAATAGTTGGTTTTGCTTCTTGATTTGTTACTTTTTCTTTTAACACTGAAATTATGGTTAACATAGAAAATGTTTTAGAAAGTGGGGAGGAGGAATAGTATAATTCACCTATATTAATGGAGAATAAACATTAAAAAATATACACTAGTTTTTGCTCTTTGACATGTAATCATGAATATTTATTTCAACTCAGTGTTCTGGTTTATTAAGTAATGTCTCTATTTTACTTTTTTGTACTTGTGCTCAAGTAGACAAATAGAAAGTTTACTATCTGGCTTATTTTGTTATCAAACGAAGAAGACATGAAAAAATTTGTTCCGATTTCTGCCTGAATACCATATTTACATTTTATTGTATTTTTCTTGACGAACTTAATAGTTTAAAGATCAAGGAGAAGTGCAGTTCTGAATTTATAACTCTGTAGTAGTCTGTATGTTAGATTTTTTTTTTTGGATTTAATTATTTTAATTGAATTTTATCATTCTATTTGTTGCTAAATGAAAAACATTGGATAACTAGTATATATTTTTGAATTTGTATGTATTTTTTAATGGATTAATTTTTAAGTAATTGTATTGCCTGAAAGATAGCCTGATAATTGCTAGCTTTTGCTGACATAGGAGATGCTCAAACTTTCTGATACTGCCTTCTCTTCACATAGATAGAAGTTCTCCAATATTTTAAGAGCTTAGTTCTTAACAGGATCTGTATTGGTTTTTAAATGTGTAGTATATAGCCCTGGTGGCACAGTGGTTAAGAGCTCAGCTGCTAACCAAAAGGTTGGCAGTTCGAATCCACCAGCCACTCCTTGGAAACCCTATGAAGCAGTTCTGCTCTGTCCTATAGGGTCGTTATGAGTTGGAATCAACTCGAAGGCAGTGGGTTTCGTTTTTGGGTTTTAGTATATGTTCTGCTATATTGCAGTAGTTGGATTCTTAAGAAACTTTGCCATAGTCAAAAATTGTTATAAAAATATTGTTTAAATTGGAAGAAAAGAGGAAAATTCAGAATTGCAAGCTTTTACTAGAAGGAATTAAATAAAGAGATATTTAGGCCTCTCAAAGTATCTAGCTAAACACTGAGCAAATTTATTATTCCAATTCTAGAGTAAGTAGCCTTTCTTTTGTTATTTCTACCTTCACCATCTTTAGCATAAAGCTTTTTATGTTTTCTTCACATATAGCACCATTATAATGATAAAGCCACTCTCAAAACAGACATGTTGTGCCTTTTTGCTTATGCCTGTGGTATTCAATCCTCATCATCATGTAGTCATATGGCCAAGAGAGATATCCTTAATGTAGATCAGTTATACTATATTCATTTGATGTTTTGAAAATTTGGGAGAAATTCCTGTATATCATCTTTATTCACTACTACATAGCCTTTGCAAATTATAATTTTGAAGTCTATAAATATAGGAGCATGTATTTGATACAGTAAGTGAGGGGGAAGGGAAGCCAAATATGATACTATGTATACTATAATTATAAGGATATAAAATATATACACATTTGAGCAAAGAATGTAGAAACTGCATTATGATTAAGATTTGATTTTTTTTATCATGACTGATGCTTTTTGCCTCCCTTCTAAAAAAATTAATAAGCCAAACCGGTTATCATCAAGTCAATTCCACCTCATAGTGACCCTATAGAACAGAGTAGAACTGCCCCACAGGGTTTCTAAGGAGCAGCTGGTGGATTCGAGCTGCCAGCCTTTTGGTTAGCAGCATCTTATTATTAGCTGAACTAAATTAACACCAAAAGTTCATATCCCTAAAATTATACTTTTTATACTTTCAGGTATGGTTTGGGAATGATTTATTACAAACAAGAAAAATTCAGCCTTGCAGAAATGCATTTCCAGAAAGCACTTGATATCAACCCTCAAAGTTCAGTTTTACTTTGCCACATTGGAGTAGTAAGTAGCTTTCCAAACATTGTTGTTAGTTGTCCTCGAGTCAGCTCTGGCTCATGATGACCTTATGTTTAACAGAATGAAATGTTGCCTCGTCCTGGGCTGTCTTCGTGATCATGGTATGTTTGAGTCCATTGTTGTGGCTATTGTATCAATCCATCTCAGTGAGATTTTCCCTCATTTTCACTGACTTTTTACTTTACCAAACATGATGTCCTTTTCTTAACATTACTGTTTTATTAATCTCCATTTTGAAATGTATTTATTGACTTAATTGCTATAATGAAAATTGGAGCTTGTTGTTGTTGTTCTTGAAACAGTATCCTGAGGTCATTTGTGGCCAAAAGCATCACCTTTTTACTCGGTCTAAGGAAAGGTCTCTGGAGTGCCCTTACCCTTGGGCAAGTCACTTAATTTTTCTGAGCTTCTATTTTATTAATGTCAGCAATACCTGCTTTGCCTATTTCATAGGGTTGTTATGAGACTCAAGTGAGACAGTTCATATTTTTGAAAACACTTTTCCATATGTTAATATTTAGCTCCAAGATTAAGTAATTACTATTTCAAAGCAAGTGATTTCTTGTGTTTATGCATGAGTGATACAGGTATATCAGAACAAATTAAAATTCTTATAAGGCAATATGGATCACTATTTCATGTTTACATCTTTAAAATATATCTAATGATAAATTGTACTTTGATAGGAGAAAAGGTATCTTTGTTTGCTTTTAAAAATCTCGTTTATTAGTTAGTTTCTCTGTAAGTATGGTATATTAGGTCCTCATTCTTGTTCTCTCTTCCTTCTCTCTCTCCAGCTCTCATGCACATGCACACACATGCGCGTACGCGCGCGCACACGTACATATACACATATATATACATACCGAGTTTGGCTTTTGTGGGATGGGCATACAGTATGAGGATATTATGTTAGTTTGGAATTTCACTGTTTATTTTGGGGAAAGAATTCTAGTTCTTTATTGACTATGATGAAATCGGCCATGATAATTACCTTAAAAATTGACATAGTAGATTCTTGTATATTACATACTATGCAAACAATATAGAGGAAATATATCCACTTAAGTTTATTTTGTTTTGCCATCTTTTTAAGATAAGCAGATCAAACTTGAGTATCTCTTGACACCTTTGTTGAAGTTTCTATTTTTTAAAGTTATTGTAGAACAGATTGTTTTAAAATTCTGAGTGGCTTATTTGAAGAAATTTCAGATAAGAGAATATGCTTTTCTCTTTTAGGGAACTAGTTTATAGGGTCTCAATATTTGGCCACATGTAGTAATAACTTTCTGCAAATATCATTGCATAAATTGTAGGTTATGTAATGTAACATATATGGTAACCACTAAGAAATCACCAAGAAGAAACATTCAGAAGAAGGAAGTTAGCAAAAAGGCTCATCCCAAGAAAGCAGCCAAATACAAAAAACAATAGAAAAATCAAAATAAAACAGCAAAGAAGATACAAACCACTCAAAAAACGAATGAGGTAGATGCTTCATTTTCAGTAGTAGCCTTAAATGTAAATGGTCTAAAAACCCCATGCAAATGATCAAGAGTAGCAGAATGGATAAAAGAACATGATCCATCCTTTTTCTGTCTGCAAGAAACACACGTTAAACATAAGGACACAAACAGACCGAAAATAAAAGGATAGAGAAAAATATTCCATGCAACCAGTAAACAAAAAAAAAAGCAGAGTGACCATATTGGTATCAGATAAAATAGACTTTAAGTCAAGATCTATTACAAGAGATAAAGAATGACATTACATAATAATAAAAGGGTTAATCCTGCAAGAAGACATAATAATTATAAGTATATATGCACCTAACAGCAATGCACCAAAATACATGAAACAAATACTAATATGAAAGGAGAAATGTATAACTCCACAATAGTAGGGGGCTTCAACATACCACTTTAAATGATAGAATATCTAAAAAGAAGATCACTAAGGACATAGAGAACTTAAAAAAAAACATAAGCCAATTGGACCTAACAGACATACATAGAACACTCCACCAGCATCGGAATAATACACATTTTTCTCCAGTACACATGGGTCATTTTCCGGAACAGACCCATATACTAGGACACAAAACAAGTCTCAACAAATTTAAAAAGAATGAAATCTGTGGTCACTTCGGCAGCATGTATACTAAAATTGGAACGATACAGAGATTAGCATGGCCCCTGCACAAGAATGACACACAAATTCGTGAAGCCTTCCATATTTTTATGAACACAGAGAACCCGTGCTGTCACACTGTGACATTGTGAGGATTGCAACCAATATCACAAAACAATATGTGTATACATTTTTCAATGAGAAGTTAACTTGAGCTGTAAACTTTTCCCTAAAGCACAATAAAATTTAATAGAAAGAATCTGAGTTTAAAAAAAAAAGATTGAAATCATACAAAGCATCTTCTCTGACCTTAACAGTATGAAGCTAGAAATCAACAACAGGAAGAATAAATAAATACATAGAAACTAAATAATTGTTAAGTGCCATTGAGTCAGTTCAGACTCACAGCGACCCTCTGTACAACAGAACAAAACACTGCCTGGTCCTGTGCCATCCTCACAGTCATTGCTGTATTTGAGCCCATTGTTGCAGCCGCTATGTCAGTTCATCTCGTTGAGGGTCTTCCTCTTTTTTGACGACCCTCTACTTTACCAAGCATGATGTTCTTCTCCATGAACTAGTCCCTCTTGATAACATGTCCGAAGTACCTGAGACGAAGTCTCGCCATCCTCACGTCTAAGGAGCATTCTGGCTGTACTTCTTCCAAGACAGATTTGTTCATTCTTCTGGCAGTCCCTAGCATATTCAGTATTCTTCACTAATACCATAATTCAAAGGCATCAGTTCTTCTTCAGTCTTCATTATTCATCGTCCAGCTTTCACATGTATATGAGGCGATTGAAAATACCATAGCTTGGGTCACACTCATCTAGTTTTCAAAGTGACATCTTTGCTTTTTAACACTTAAGAGAGGTCTTTTGCAGCAGATTTGCCTAATGCAATATGTCATTTGATTTCTTGACTGCTGCTTCTATGGGTATTGATTGTGGATCCAAGTAAAATGAAATCCTTGACAACCTCAATCTTTTCGCTGTTTATCATGATGTTGCTTATTGGTCCAGTTGTGAGGACTTTTGTTTTCTTTATGTTGAGTTGTAATCCATACTGAAGGCTGTAGTCTTTGATCTTCATCAGTAAGTGCCTCAAATCCTCTTCACTTTCAGCACTCAAGGTTGTGTCATCTGTATATCACAGGTTGTCAATGAGCCTTACACCAATCCTGATGCCATGTTCTTCTTCATATAGTCCAGCTTTTCAGATTATTTACACAGCATACAAATTGAGTAAGTATGGCGAAAGGATACAACCCTGATGCACACTTTTCCTGACTTTAAACCACATAGTATCCCCTTGTTCTGTTCAAATAACTGCCTCTTGATATATGTACAGGTTCCGCATGAGCACAGTTAAGTGTTCTGGAATTCCCATTCTTCGTAATGTTTTCCATAATTTGTTATGATGCACACAGCCAAATGCCTTTGCATAGTCAATAAAACACAGTAAACATCTTTCTGGTTTTCTCTGCTTTCAGCCAAGATCCATCTGATACCAGCAGTGATATTCCTTGTTCCACAACCTCTTCTGTATCCAGCTGGACTTTCTGACATTCCCTGTTGACGTACTGCTGCAACTGTTTTTGAATTATCTTCAGCAAAATTTTGTTTGTGTGTGATATTAATGATATTGTTTGATAATTTCCACATTCTGTTGGATCACCTTACTGTGGAATGAACACAGATATGGATCTCTCTTCCTAGTCAGTTGGCCAAGTAACTGTCTTCCAGATTTCTTGGCATAGATGAGTGGGCACTGCATCTGTTTGTTGAAACATCTCAATTGGCATTCCATCAATTCCTGGAGCCTTGTTTTTCACCAATGCCTTCAGTGCAGCTTGGATTTCTTCCTTCATTACCACTGGTTCTTGGTCATATGTTATCTCCTGAAATGGTTGAACATTGACCAATTCTTTTGGGTGCAGTAATTCTGTATATTCCTTCCATCTTTTGATACTTCCTGTATTATTCAGTATTTTGCCCATAGAATCCTTCAAAATTGCAACTCGATGCTTGAATTTTTTCTTCAGTTCTTTCAGCTTGAGAAATGTCAAGCATGTTCTTCTTTTTTGGTTTTCGAACTCCGGGTCTTTCCACATTTCATTATAATACTTACTTTGCCTTCTTAAGCCACCCTTTGAAAACTTCTGTTGAGCTCTTCTACTTCACCATTTCTTCTATTCACTTTAGTTACTCTACGTTTGAGAGTAAGTTTCAGAGTCTCTTCTGACATCAGTTTTTGTCTTTTATGTCTTTCTTGTCTTTTTAATGACCTTTTGCTGTCTTAATGTATGATGTCCTTGATATGATCCCACAACTCGTCTGATCTTTGGTCATCAGCATTCAACATGTCAAATCTATTCTTGAGATGGTCTCCAGATTCAGGGGGGATATACTCAAGGTCTTATTTTGGGTCTCGCTGACTTATTTAAATTTTCTGCAGCTTCACCTTAACTTTGCATATGAGCAATTGATGGTCTGTTCTGCAGTCAGACCTTAGCCTTGTTCTGACTGATGATATTGAGCTTTTCCATTGTTTCTTTCCATAGAAAACCCTAAAGATTCCACAAGAAAACTGCTGGAACTAACAGAAGAGTTTAGCAACATTGCAGGGTACAAGATCAACACAGAAAAATCAGTTGGGTTCCTCTACACTAACAAAGACTTCTACAAAAAAGAAATCAAGAAAGTAGTACCATTTACAATAGCCCCCAGATCGATAAAATACTTGAGTTAACCTAACTAGGGGCATAAAAGACTTATACAATAAAAATTAAAAAACACTGCAGGAGACTAAAATAGACCTATAAAAATAGAAAGATGTCCCATGTTCATGGCTTGGAAGACTTCATATAGTGAAAATGTCAATTCTACCTAAAGTGATCTACAGTTCCAGTGCAATCCCAATACAAATCCAGACAACATTCTTTACTGAAATATTAAAACTAAGAAACCCCGAATAGCCAAAGCAATATCAAAACATGCTGTACAGCCGCTGTAATCAGAACAGCTTGGTATTGGTTCTACAGTAAACACATGGACCAGTGGAATAGAATTAAGAACTCAGAATTAAACCCAGCCATCTATGGACAATTGATTTTCGACAAAGGGTCAAAGTCCAATCAATGGGGCAGAAGCAATCTCTTTAAGAGATGGTTCTGGCAGAACTGGCTATCAACCTGCAGAAAAATGAAACAGGACCTATACCTCACACCATACACAAAAGCTAGCTGAAAATAGATCAAAGATCTAATTGTTAAACCTAAAACCATAAAATTCCTAGAAGACAACATAGGGAGAAAACTGTGGACCTCATCTTTTGTAAAAGTAGAATATCAGATATAACAAATGCATAAGTAGAAGAAGACAAAATAGATAAATGAGACCTCATAAAAATTAAAAACTTATGCTTATCAAAAGACTTTATTAAAAGAATAAGTAGACAACCTGCAAAGTGGGGGAAAAAAGTCTTCGGAAACAACTTATCCGATAAGGGCCTAATCTCCAAATCTATAGAAAACTTCAACAACTCAGCAACAAAAAGACAACCCAATCACAAAATAGGCAAAAGATAGGAACAGAACATTCACCAAAGAAGACATCCTAGCTACCAACAAACATATGAAAAGATGTTCACAATCATTAGCCATTAGAGAGATGCAAATCAAAACTACAGTGAGATATACCATCTTACCCCGGCTAAAATGGCACTGATTAAAAAAAAAAAAAACAGTTAACAACAAATGTTGGCAAGGATGGGGGGAGATTGGAAGCCTTATCCATTGTTGGTGGGACTATAAAATGGTACAACCACTATGGAAGACAGTATGGTGCTTTGTCAAAAAGCTAAAAATAGAACTACCCTATGATCCAGCAATCCCACGCTTAGGTATATACCCTAGAGACCTAAAAATAGTGACACAAACAGACATATACACACCTATATTCATTGCTGCTTTATGCACAATAGCAAATAAATGGAAACAACCAAAGTGCCCATCAATGGATGAATGGATAAGCAAATTGTAGTACATACATACAGTGGAATACTGTGCAACCGTAAAGAACAGTGAGTCCATGAAACATAACATGGATGGACATGGACCTAGAAGGCATAATGCTGAGTGAAATAGGTCAAGCATATAAGGACAAATACTGTATGAGCTGTCTTTTATAAGAAGACAAAAATAGATATAGAGAGACCAGTGTTCATTGGTGGTTACCAGGGAGAGAAGGAGGGATGGAGAAAGTACACTTTATACCGTAGAGGCTAGTTATTTTTGGCAATGGGAAAAGTAATTTCGAATGTGGATGTGTGAGCACAGCACAATCAAAGTAAAAATGAGTATTTGAGCACATATGGATTGGTATAGGCAGATTGGTTTACAGGTAGGTAAAGGTGTGTACATAGGTGAGAACAGATAGAAGTATCTATAGGTGCGTGTAAATACAGATATGTGAATGCAGACACATATATTCCTTGAATACACAAATATGGATGCTCTTCAGACATAATCAAATACCTTCCAACATTGGTTTTCTGGGTTTGAAGGCTTAGGTCCATAGTCTCATGGGATAGCTCAGTTGATTGGCATAACATAGTTCAGAAAAATCAAAATCTGCATCCTAGTGAAGTGAGTAGTATCTGGGGTCTTAAAGCTTGTGAGCAGCCTTCTAAGACACAACTACGGGTCTCTATTCACCAGAAGCAAAACAGTGAGAAGGTAACCAAAAGTGCAGAGAAGAAACAAGTCTGCAGGAGCCACAACCTCATCTACCGTGAGATCAGAAGAACTAGATAGTGCCCTGCTACCACCACTGACCATCCTGACCAGGGTCACAATAGTTGGTCCCAGATAGAGTGGGAGAAAAATATGGAACAGAACTCAAATTCTTACTAAAACAAAAAAGCCAGACAAACTGGAACAGTAGAGAACAGAGGATTCCCTGAGATTTTCACCCTGAGATACTCTTTAAACCTAGAACCAAGCCTATTCCCTAAGATCACCTTCTAGCAAAATAGAGTGGCACACAAAATAAAGGATAGTTTGGTGCCCTACTTAAAAACCATCAGTATGAGACCAAAAGGTCAACAA